CAGTGTGGTACACCCTACGGGATTCTAGCGTTGCGAGGTAGGAGTAAGGAGTATTTAGTGGTTAGCTATTTCCGCCTCGCCGTGCATGCGGAAAGTGTTACACGGGATGCGGTTCCCGCTGCGGTGATTATTTTGCGCCCATGTCATATGCTTTGCACAAAATTATGATGGCGATGAAGCCAGCTTTTTGCCCTGTCTCTTAAATCACTCCAGTAATTAGTTGAGGGAAAGCATTTTGGCCTTGGTCCGGAATCCCTGAATCCCAACAGTACTTGGAAGGCATGTTGGGCCTGGTCCCCTATCCGCCGGCGTGGTCCTGAATCAGGCAAGTGCTCGGGGAAGCCTTGTGGCTGTGCTAGTGAATTCCTTTAGTACTTGGGAGAAAGCCTGCTGGCCGTTTCTTGGTGGTCTTCTGAGGTCACCTTGTGGTTTGTTGGTGGTTTTCTGCTTGTCGGCGGTCGTCATGGTCGTAATATGTCGTAATGTTGCCGTCTCAATCCCAAGAACCGGCCAAGATGGTCAAGTTACATTTATCAAGAGCAGGTGCTCTCGACGGCAGCATCAGGTTTGCAGCCTCCGCTGCGCTCTTAGAGTGCCTCCAGCTTGTCTTCTGGCTGAGTGATGAATCGTGCATTCTTGTCCGGAAGCAATGTGAAGCATGTGGACAAGCGGGTGACTGCATTTACGTTGGACATGGTTGGACTTTGGTAGACAGCCTCAAGCACAGGGCCCGCCGAGAGGCCCTAGCACGAATGTTCCCGTCATAGGAGGCTCAGTCGTGTAGTGCTAGATGGAGGAGGGGGAGGTGGAGGCGGATTCAGCAGATATTGACGAGCTTCTCCGTGCAGACCTGCAAGCTCTTGCAGAGGCTCCGTTGGAAGGCTCGGCCCCAGGTGGCTCATTCAGTGATACGGTGCTACGCGGCTACAATGGTCAGGTGGATGCTCACATGGCCTTGCTTGGAGTCCGCTGTCCGGGGCTGGCGGAGAAAGCCATCTGTCAGCCGAGTGAGCCAAGTTGCGGATTCCTTATCCAAATGCCTGAGACTGCCGTGGAAACTCTTCAGGATGTTGTCTTCTTTCTATACACCGATCGCATCGCGCCACAAGCGCGCGGCAATGTTGGTCAGATGTTTGCATTGCTGAGGGTGGCCCGCAACCTGTACCTGCCGGAAAAGAGTGACTCCTCAACTTCGTCAGGGTGCAAGAGGAGACGTGTGGACACCAGAACATGTGCAATGAGACGCTTGTCTAGCCTCTGCGAGCACCGTATACGTGAGTCGCTGACCGCATCGACTGTGATAGAGATTCTTTCTTGCTCAGTGAAGCTGGGTGCTGCGTTGCTGGAGAGATGCGTGTACGAGTTCTTGGCAGAAACCCTGCCAGCTCGCACGAAGGACGTCGATTTCAGCAGGAGCCTCATCGACACTCTGGGCAAAGACCACCCAGACGTGCTTGCAAAGGCAATCTCAGCGACTGCAGGCAACACGCCGGCTTCTAGTCTCTCTTCGGCCGCAGCTCCTCCAGTTCCGCCTCCGTCCCTTCTCCTTCATCTGCAGTCGCTGTGGCGACAAACTTTAGGACAGGATCAGGGGGAAGAAGACATGCGTGTGCCCGCAGCAAAGCCTGACTGCAAGCTGAATCTGGGCCGAGGGAAGGATTCGCCACCCTGTTGTGTGCTTGCGCACCGTTTCCTTTTAGCAGCGCGCTCGAAGTTTTACGCCTGTGCACTGAGCTCACCTATGAGAGAAGCTCAAACTGGGGACATCTCACTGGGAGTGATACCTTCGCCCAGTGTCAGCAGTGTGCAGACTTTGCTCAAATACCTTTACACAGGGAGATTGGAGACGATCGAAGGCACCGAAGGCCATGATCTGATGCCAACTGACCTGCTCGATATGCTTTCAATCGTCGACGGCCCTGGTGGGCAGAACTATTTGCAGCTTTCCCAGGCAGTGTGTGATCTACTCCGGGATCAGCTGACAGAGCAGATCAAGGCAAACCTTCGACAGGACAACATGTGGATGGTTCTTCGAAGGGCAACAGCTCAGCGCAATCGAACCATCCAGAAGGAGGCGTTCATGGCCGTGCTGAGCTGCTGTGCGGAGCTCTCACGAGACGAGGAGTTGTTCCGGTGCTGGGGCGATTGTCCTGTACAGACAGTGGACGCTTGGTGGACGCAGCGCATGGAGTCTGAGCTGCTTCGCGAGATGTTGAGGTTGAGCTTCACACTCGGTTCTGGAAGACAAGTGCATCACGACAACTGGGAGCTGGAAGTCGTACATCCAGCCCCTGAGGGTGTCGACAATGTATTCAACCTTCGAGGGAACGGGCACCTGTTGCAGGAGTGGAGCGATCGTGGGTCTGCGTGCGCGCATCTTGGCACCCTTTGACGTCCTTCCCTGCAGTGTGTGAGCAGCGCAGTAGGTCGTCGTAGGTGACAGGCCAACCTGGGCTTGCCTAACGCCTTGTGAAAGTCTGAGGCGCCGCGGTAGCATCGTCGCCAAGTTCAAGCATCCCGTCCATGTGGACTTCGTGACAGTTGCTCCCCTTGATGGTTGGGGTAGCGAATACTTAAAGAACGCCAGGCTTCATGTGAAGAATGCTGATGGTGTTTGGGAGCGACTTGCAACAGCCACAGGCCGGGTCGAGCAAATACCTGTATTCAGACGGGCTGCGATGTGGCGCTTGTACGGGGACGAAGTTGCTACGGCGGTCCTCAAATTCCGCAAAGAGCCAGCGCGACCTTGCACTGAGTTCGAGCATACAGAGAAGGCGAGGTGCAAAGGATCCGATGGAACGTACAAGTTTGTGTACTTCAAGTTTCCTGTCGCCGTCCATGTAGATGATGTGACGGTCCCCGCAGATCCCATATTGACTAGAACGCAACTGCAAGTGAAGAATGCAGATGGTCAGTGGGTTGACGTTGGAGCGCCACTGACAGGGCGAAGCCAGCTGGTTTGGGTCAACAGGGATGGTCGCTTCTGGCGCTTGCGGAATCTTTCTGGCTTGACTGGATGGGATGCGAATATCTTCACCTTCACCTCCAAATGATTGTGGGGGCTTTGGCAACACGTGCTGCAACATGCTGCAACCGATGGCAAAGGCCGTTGTCGACCGGCCTTCGGTTCATGTTGCACCAGCCACGGTGAGAAGGGAAAAGGTGATTCGTCATTGTGTCTAGTCCTGTAGCGGCGGGAACCAAACATGAAGGCCATCCGCTGTTTGCATTCGCTTTTGCATTTTAGTCGCAGCAGTAGAAGGAGGAGGCCGGTAGTAGGAGGAGGACGAGGCGGGGGAGGAGGAGGAGGAGCAGCAGCAGCAACCGCAGCAGTAGCAGTACCAGCACAAGTAGTAGTGGTGGTATGTGGTGGTGGTAGGGTAGTGGTAGTGGTACTGGTACTGGTACTGGTACTGGTACTGGTACTGGTGGTAGTGGTAGTGGTAGTGGCAGTGGCAGTGGCAGTGGTAGTGGTAGTGGTAGTGGTGGTGGTGGTGGTGGTGGTGGTGGTAGTAGTAGTAGTAGTACTAGTAGTAGCAATCGTCGTCGTCGTCGTGGCAGCAGGAGCAGCAGCAGCAGCAGCAGCAGCAGCAGCAGCAGCAGCAGCAGCAGTCGTCATACTAGGTAGATCTATATCGTGGGAGTGGTATTGGTCGTTGTCGTAGTAGTAGTAGTAGTAGTAGTAGTAGCAGCAGCAGTAGAAGCGGTCTTAGAATAGGCAGTACAACTTGTAATTTATTGTGACAAACGAGTCGCGGGAGTTGTACATCAGAAGTGCCAGCAGGCAGCTAGCAGTATGGCTAGACCGGAACCATAATCATAAGTTTCCAATATGTAGCGAAAGTGAAGTCATGTGAAACCCCAAGCATGGCAACCTCGCCTCGGCTGAAGAGCGGCGGAAGAGGCAGTGCTGGCAGTCATCAAGTCCGGTGTCAAAATGGCAACCTCACCTTCAAGACGAGGTTCGATGATCCAAATCGTTTATGTCCACCGGCAAACGTATTCATCTCTAGGCGGGCCACCCCGAACTTCCCGAACAGTCCCCGGAATGAGATTGGAAAGTCTTGGCCCTTAGCAGGGGTACTGAAGCGAAGGCCGTGCAACCTTACCTTATGCCCTTACCGCACTCGCTTACAGAAAGGAACTCCGATCTTTGAGCTCTCAGGTCTCCGATGTGGCCCCATGCTGCGACTAGATATTGATGACCTCGCTGCAGAAGCTGGTGCCAGATTCGCTTTACGAGATCGTCGAGCTGCGAAAAGGACGCGTAGGCGAGCCCGGTGCTGATGGGGCCATTATTCGATCCGACTGCCTGTGATACTACGGTTATGCGGCTGTCCGGGTCTCTGCCCCATCTTTCCTGGGACAGGCGACATCCTTGCATTCCTCACGCAGCAGGCTCCAGCTGAGAAGATCGCAAGTTGAGAACCAGCTTCGCTGCCGTCGCGAAGAGCTGGAGGTGCAAGACAGCCATCTGGGTTTACGTCCACGTCGAATTTCCCGAAGCTGTCGGACCAGTGGTCTTCGCCAAGGTCCGCGATGTCTTCTGGGAGAGCAGGATCCGGCGGAACTGCGAGCGGAAAAGTCACTGACTCTCTCTGGATAGCCAGTATAGATTTGCTGAATTTGCTAGATACTTGTCTCAGTAGCCTAGCTTCCCCGCAGGAGCTGGACGCTGAAGGGAGCCGCTGTAGACTTCCAGACTTCCCTTGTTGTTCGAGCCCGTTGTTGGGGCCTGGGGCAGGATAGCCAGGTTTTCTGCACCACGGTAGGAATACCCAGCGCGCCTTTAGCTGTTCTTCCTTCACATCATGCTTTGGCAGACGGGATTTGCAAAGACTGTTTCAAGGCGTTCTGCTACACTAAGTCTCTAAGTCAAGAAACCAGTTGGCACCTAGTCGAACTGATGTGGGCCTCCTGTGCGCAGGCATTCTCACAAGAAGCGGACGATACTTGATCATTGCCAGTTAGGTTAGATTGGATGGTAAAGTTCCAGAGCCATGGACGATTCTGGCATTGAAGTGGAGGGGGATGAGGACTGGCGCTGCTTGGCCAGCACCAGCGGTTGATGCAGATTGCCAATGAGATGGGCCAATGCCGTCTGCGCACTCTGCACAGCGAGATAGTGTCGCAGTGTGCTGACACGTCGTTTTTCAACTCATGAAAAAATGCTTCGAACTGGCGAAGCTGCCAACTGAAATTTCCAGAGGGCGTGAATCGGGGGTTCCTTGTTAAGCTCCCGTGGTCTCCTTGATATTTCTCGGTAGCTGGCAACTGCTGGTTTGGCTTGGGAGTGTACGCATGTACCATCGCTGGTAGCTGGTTTTAGCATCATCGCCCACCTAATGACATGCTCACACGGAGTCTGGACAGCTGAGACAAACGAATGGCAAAGACAGGCCCGTTCGATAGCTGGGGTTGTAGTCCTGGATTTAGGAAGACTATGAGCGGGGTGGTTTGTAGTCCTGGATTTAGGAAGACTATAGGGGTGGATTTGGGAAGACTATGAGGGGGAGGGGGGGGGGGGCTTGTAGTCCTGGATTTAGCAAGTAGCCCTGGATTTAGGAAGACTAGGAGGGGAGCGAGGGGGGGCTTGTAGGCTTGGGGGGGTCTCATATGGGGGTGTTGAACTTGTATGTTGGGTGAAGTACGTCGTCCTCCAAATCACTCATGATTTATGCTTTTTTCCTCGCTTTTAACCACCCCTGAAGCGTTTTTCTGTGGCTTTCTCCTTTGTGTGTGTTGGAGAAAACGCGGCTTAAGAGAGCGGGGAGTTTGCAGTCCAAAAAGAGCGGGGGGTTGGAGGGGCACAGCCCCCGCATTTCCAGAGCTTACAACTCATTCATGAATGAGGGGGGGGGTTTGGGTGAAGTTCGCTTGCAGTCTAAAAAGCGGGGGGTTTAGGGGGCGCAGCCCCCCATCTAAGTGTGGCTTTCTCCATTGTGTGTGGAGGAGAAATGGGGGCTTAAAGTTCTGGATTTAGGAATAAGTGGGGGGGGGGTTTGAAGTCTTGGATTTAAACGATGTGTAAGTATGCGGGGGACGGTCCGGGAGGTTCCCCCCAAAGATGACAAGCCACTCCGTCTTCCTAAATCCAGGACTAAAAGCCCCCCCCCCCCCCCCACTATTTTCTTTCTAAATGCAAGACTACAAGCCCCCCCCCCCCTCCGCCCCTTGTAGTGCCTTTTTGTCCTCCTAAATCCAGGGCGACTACAAACCCCTCCCCCCCTCACTTCGTCCCACCCCCTCCCCCCTCATACTTCTTGGATGTCTGACATTATAAAGGGGGGTCCTGCGCTATCGAACCGGACTCGGCAAAGAAGCTTCGACTTTGCTTCAAGCGATTCTCGACCACATCCTGGAGCGCCAATGCAATTCAACCAAAACCACTCGTTTGTGGCATAACACAAGACTTGTTGTTTTTCGTTCGTTCTTTCGTTTTTTCCTTCACTCAGGCTCTCTATCTATCTATCTATCTATCTATCTCTCTCTGTGCTTGTATGGTCTGCTCAACCGCTCTCCTTGAAGATCTTTCTGGGTTCCTCGGTCTCCATGACTTCGGAGAGGTTACGGGCCTCTTGGACGGGCTGGTTCCCAGACGCCCGTTGAACCATCGACCGAGGTGCCAAGAGCCTGAGGTTGCACTCTTTCGAGTTTGCCTTATCTGGAGTTGTGGATGCAAAAGGTCCATAGTTGCGACTTGTCATGGAGGTGTCTGCAAGTGCCAGCTTCGACGATGAGGAGGAGGTTCGGGCTAGATCTGTCCTTCAGCTTTGGCGTGTCTTCGCTCGAGCTGCATGTCCGAACATTGACTGCTGCGAGACGTTGTGAGTGGCAGTGACTGCGACCAGGACGATGAAGACTGGCGGTATGGGCCTTTGGGCAGAGCTGGCAGCTTTGCCGCATGTGTACATCTCTGTCTCAGAGTTGTTCTGAGATGTCGGACGTGCCACTGACGCTAGGCGTGATGAAGGACGAGGAGCCTGCAGATCCCATGCTGTCCGAGAGCTCGAAAACGGAGGTGTCGCTGGACTGCAAGTTCTCTACCAGTTTCCATTCGGTGCTCGTTGCCAGGATGCAGAGCAGGTACGCACATCGGCGCCTGCAGAACCCCTACGGCATGAGGAGGCCCGGATGTTTGCCACGAGCTGGTCACCACGTCATTTAGCTGGCAAGTAGGCCAGAGATGGTGCAGGTGCGACCTCGCACGATCTGGGCATACTGGGCACAGGGCCACGAGCCCCTTGCCACGGTGTAGCTGCACTTCTTGATGCTTGCAAGACCTTCCAGAGCGTCTCCGGCGCTTGTGCACGAGTTCTGGGTGCGACCTTGCATGTAGCCGGAGCAGGGCAGACCTGGAGTGGAAAGGTCGTAGGGGTGAGGGCACTGCTGCAACGTGGTAATGGAAAGTCATGAGGCAGATGCCGGAGTTCTTCCGAATGTGCGTGGAGACGTGGCAGCGAGTCAACCCACATTGGGATGCCACTTGACTTCAGGTTTGGCCCAACCACTACTGTATAAACCCACTTACATATTTCGCATAGATACATTGCCATGGACAGAAGCCGGGTGTGCGCCGACCGGGATGCAGAGTCAACCGAACAATGAGACCTTATTTGGTTACGCTTGTGGTTGATTCGTTTCGCAGCCTAGCGCAGCACATAGGATAGAAATCTTGCGACGAGGTGCGAATCTTGCAGAAGTCGACGGTCATGGAGCATCTGGGATTCCATCCATTCCAGGCTCAGCCTTCGGCACGGCGGAACGGCGAACACCTGGTGCCTGTCTGAGGTATCTCACCGAGGACGAACTGCCGAACCGGTTTATGGATATGACCTCGCACCAGACAGCCACTTGCCAACTTGCCACCGCCGGGCTCCGAACAGTGCAGTCGTGGTTGACCGACGGAAGATCAGGCTTCTGATGCAGTGCGGCTGGGCGTGCTCTGCCGCTATGGGGGCGCTTCTCGACAACATGGCACACTGCATGTTTGGAAGTTTGAGAGGCTTCGGAAGGGCCGTTTTCCCTGTGTTGTCTGGGATTCGTAAGCCTCCTCAGGTTTGAATGAGCACGCATGCCAATGCCTCGTGCCGCATGACTTTTTGCTCGCATTCATTGCACTGCACGCCTCGATCGATCTTGACCGAGGTGTGGATGGATGTGAACATCTTGGTCTGTGGCAGCCTGGACAAGCTGTGCTGGAACGCCATCTCCTGGGGGCAGAAACCGGCGTGTGCATCTCGCCGGCGTTTGAGAGTGCATCATGCCTGTTGTTTGCACATCTTGTTCTGCTTGCTTCTCCCCGTCTGTCAAGTCGGAGGTTTTCTACCACCCTTCTTATGGAACCGATGCTCTCGGAGGTCGCGACTTCGTCGAGAGCTACTGGCCAAAGTTTGGAGGTTCGAGGTGTGAGATCATGCAGTCAGGGTTCTGCTCTAGCACGAAGGATCACGAAAGGTGTCTTGAGGCGGCTTGGGAAGAATGTATGTTACTGTGACGATCGGCCTTTGATGTGACAAAACGGACAAGCAGATGCCCCATCCCTCTCGGGGAGAAGGGGGCCCCGTGCTTTGCAGGTTGGGAACCACGAAAACTCATTCGAAGCTGAAGCCAACATGCTGGAGAACTTCACACGAAAGCCCGTCGTAGTCTAGCTGAGTCTAGCGGCACCGGAACGAGATTCAGGCTGGTTTCTCGCAACGGGACCGGGCAATCCGTTTTTCATCCGCTGGAGAGACATCTTCAAGGACATCAGGGCAAAACAAGGCGACGTCGTCCTAGAATTCATATTTGAAAGCAAAAAACAACTAGCCTTCGTGCTATGCAGTGTGGAATGTGCAATCGTTTCTTCGTGCTCGGGCACGTGTCCTGCAGGAGCTGTTTCATGACCGCCTGGACATAAAAGGATTGTTGAGCCATCCTTTCTACAAGGTGCGGAGGTTCAGTTTTCTCACAGTTCTGCAGCGCAGGAATGTGAATCGTCTCTCAGCGCCCGGCATACTCTGCAGGGCTTGGACCTCTCTGGCTTCGAAAAGCTGAACAACGATTTCAGTGGGTCAGGATATTGACTTCCGGCTTGTGATTCCTTCGCATACAGCAGCCGACAGGGATAGAGCAGTTTGACAGTCTTGGCAGGAATGGAGTTTCGAGAATACCTCGCTATCCATGCCATGTGCGGCTTGAATCAATTGGTAACTTGATAGTGCCTGTTTGCACATGGAAGATCAGTTCCCAGCTGAAGTGTTCAGAAGCATGCAGTGGCGACATGGCTTAGGCCATCGACTGCTGGAGACGGAGCCGGAGGCACGACGCCTCTGGCGTGATCGATTCATCCAGGCCATGGCCGGAGGTAGACCTGTGAGGACTTACGCTGTCACATCGCATATGATATGTAAAAATCAACAGGTGAGTGCCGCTGACACAGTATCCTGGCCGCGATCATGTCCAATCTCGTTTGTGCGGCTTCTCGTGTTGAGTGCCGGGGTGATTTGAAGACTCCAAAGCAGATAAAGCAGCCCAGGCATTCAGACTGCAGATGGTGGCTCAGGCCAGCAACCTCCACATGGCGCAGGCTGGGGCTCAATTGCAAGCACAAAATGTTGATGCTTAGCGGGCGCCGACGCGAGGTTCTCCTGCTGGAGGACGGGCGTGCGGAGCAGCTCATCGAGGGAGTGCCGCCGCTCCGTCCTGAACGCGAGTCGAAGCGGGGATGATCTAAGCTCTCAGCCGATTGCAAGAGTCGCCTGCTTCTGAAGACAGTGGAATTCCGGAGCAGCTTTGTCGGGTTGAGCACTGAACGAAGTGTAATTAAGTAGTGGCGCCTCAGCGATGGGACAACCAACGCGCCAAAACTACAAAGACAAAGGATGGGATGATCATCAACGGCATCACGACAGCACGTGCTGCCCTGTCAAGCCGGTCGGACGTGTCACGTGCCCAAGGTTGATCAAATTTCGCACCCCTGACTATGGCCCCTTGCTGCAGCTTTCAGCGGTGCAGCTGAAGGACCGGAGCTTCAGAACGACGACGCACGCCCTGTCGTCGCATGTCGTCGCAAAATTTCGTGTTGAAGCAGGACAGGAAGCATCTCCTCGGGCGCTTGCTGGATCCGCCGGATGCCGCTGAGGTGGATCGATTTCCGTGTAGGGGCTGCATTGGAACTACGGGCTGTCACCAATCTCTGACATGTCAGGCGATGCGTCAGCCGGTAGCAGCCCGGGCAGCCTTCAGACACCTGGCGACACTTGCGCCTTCCGTGGCCCTCAATCTGTGTTGTCTTTAGCTTTACGCCCGCCGACCTCATGCTACCACCCAGGCCGTGCCTTCTAGGTGGCGAGGACTCATAGCGGTGAAACTATCCCACCTTGCTTCTGAGGCTCAGTACCACGTTTGGGTGGGCGGCGGCATTTGGCCACTGCCTCGGAGCAGGCGCAGTAGTGAAACCATCCAGCTGGTTGGTATGGTCTTGCTGCAGGTGACCGCTAGCCTGGCGGCGGTTTTGTGCAGGCATCTGGTTTCTTGGATGACAACGGCTGCCTCACATGCCATTGGCCATTGAGCCTGCAGAACGTTTGCAAAACTCTGGGCACTTGCTTGCCGGCAGTGTTTGTTCGCTTCTCTCCGACCCTGTACAGGGCAATACCGGCCTCCCCGCTGTCCTGCAAGGAGTTTGCAGGCTTTGGGGGCCCTGGATGTGTCTAGAGCTTCGGGCATGAGCTCTCGGACTGCGCAAGCTTTCCCCATCCTGAAAGCCTCGGCCTGCATGTGCATGTCGAGCTTGATGCATGGCTGCAGCCGCTAGCCTGTTGGGAGGTATTTCGTCCCCAGCTCGGGGAGCATGGCATGCGCGACAAGGGTTTCCGTTTCTGCGGCCAAGGCGGATGAAACAGATCTAGCCGGGAGATGTTGAAGTTTCGGGTTCAGCAAATCCAGTCAGCGCTCGAAAGAAGCCGATCTCGTCAGGAGCCAAGCTTATACGGCCCTAGGTTGTTATGCTTACAGCATCTCGAAGGCCGGTCCCCGCCTTTGGGAGGCATCGATGCGGCTGATGCCACCTGTCTTGGTTAAGTAGCCGTGGAGTAGATCCGGGAGGTTCGCCGGTAAACCGAGCCTACACCATTCGTTTCGATGAAAGTGTTGTGAGAGGTCTTGGTCTGCGTGTAACGGTTGCGACCTGTGGAATTGTTGTGTGACATCAAACGTGCCGCCACCATGACCTTGAAGGCACTTCGCGATTTGCGGCTGTCGCCTGACCTTTGGCATGCTCGCCGTGTTGAAAATGCTTTTGACCGAGCTGCAGATCTGTTCGCTTGCCGCTGCCGCAGCTTTGTTGCCTGTTTCACGTCATCTCTTCGTTTTTGACTAGTCTATACAGTCTTCTATTCTAAGGCAAAAACAGAAGTTGCAACTGGTCGTCGGGATGGAGCATGCTGCATCCGGCGCTTTTCGGTAGAGATTTGATTCGATTGACGGCATCGGATCGTCATGTTTTCGGGCAATGGGATGATCCTTGCTAGCCTGCATGCACGCCCAAGGGTCGAGCCAGGTAGTGCACAGAGGAAGCCGTTCCGAAACAATAATGACAGCTTGACAGAAGCTTTCAAGGCCCAGGATGACGGCTTCTGCATTCCGTGCAGGCTTGGGCTGCAAGCGCAGGTCATCGTTGTGGCCCCGAGGCAGCAGCACAGGCAAGGCACACATCTTGCACGACTCTATCCCAAGAGAAGTCAATTAACCGCTTTTGTCATTGCAGGCAGGTTGCCGTTCAAAACATTTCAGGCTGCCCTCCAACGGAATGTGACCGCCATCCAGACGAAGCTGTGTACAGAGCAGGCACTCTCAGCAGTTTCTTTGTTAAATGCATTCCCCCGATGTCAGTGAGATTGCCCATGTGACTCAGAAGCGCGTACAAAGGGTTCAAAACATCGTGGGGTCTGAGAGACAGGCCGCACTTCGGTCAACGCAGACAGAGCTGCAGAAGGCAGAGGCGCCAATAAGTCAAAATCCTGTTGCAGAGTGCCACATTGTGCAAGCATGCTAGTGTTTCATCAGTAAATCCTTCGCTTGCGCGTTTCTTGCAGTCAGCAATATTGGTGGTGAAGGGGCCTCCGTGTTGAGTTTCTTCGCCCAGCCAACGACTGCGCAAGGTTCAGGGGGGTCGAAGAGTGACCGAACCCCCTTGGAGTGATTCAAGCTTGGTGCTCTGCCATAACGCAAGTTGATTGGGCTCAAGCCGTGCTCAGGAAGCTATGCGGCAGGAAGGGGAGACAGCATACATGTCACGGCTTCGTTTGTTTTTTTAGCTAATCAGAAAAACGGACATAGGTGGCAAGATTCATCAAGCATTGTCAACGTGCCTCACTAAAACAACAGTTTGCCACTGCATATCTCGATCATCCACCCGCTGCAGAGATGTCTGTGGGTGAACCATTGCAGAAATGCCTTGTGGTTGCAGGAGCCTGCAGCATGCGGTAGCAACATGCTCGTAGCCGGCGACGTCTGGACTGTGTTCGTTGTTTGCTGCTGTCTCTGTTATGACTGTTATGCACCATGTCACTGAATGCGTTTCATTGAGGTTTGAGCGACCTAAGCAAGCACATCGACGCTATAGTCTCGCAGAACGCGGCAATGCGGAAAGAAATTCAGAAGTTGTCTCTCGGTGGCAGTGATGACGCCTGATCGGTGCGAGCTTTTGTGCGGTGGGTCATGGGTCAGAACATACAACAGAGCAGACACGATACGAAGGGCTCATAGCAATGCCCAGCGCAACTTCAACGTCTTAGTTTCTTGCTGGTTGACGGGAGTTTCCATTGGGCCTGGCTGAGCCAAGAGGTCAGGGAAACTCGACCTCCAACATGCTGAAGACCAGCGCCACTTGGATGAGTCACACGAGACCGCTTTCTGCTTCTTGTTGTCGTGAGAACCCCAACGATAACAGGGTGTGCAGTCCATGTTGGCCTTGGTGTTATTGCTTGCTTCTCTGGAATAGCTGATATAGCTTACTATCTACTGGATTGGAGCTTTGCTCTTGCTGAGCTGCACGAGGAATGGAGTTGCTCGGAGTTGTTCCGGATGCGAAGCACGAGAAAGAGGCCGGCAGACTGGCACGTAACTAGACACCAGGTCAGCGTCGTGCAGAATAGACCTTGAGAGGAAGCCTCGCGAGAACTTTGAAAGTTTGCAAGTAAGCTCACAAGTTTGTGAATCAACTTGCATCCCCTGAAATTACGATTGTCAACACGTACCACCGCAGATGACTGAACCTTTCGTCTCGGAAACCTGGCACGGGAGCACATATCCCATTTCGTGTTGGCAGATGTAGTGGCCAGCGTTTCTCAGGTTTCGGTGAAGCCGCCACCTTTGCCGGAGGCTTCTTGGCCGGTCTGGATGAAACCAGCCACAGGATAGGACTCTTCTCTGAGACCGCCGAGCAGTGGCCATCGGTATTTATTAGGTTCCCTGTCAACAGCCTTCCGTTTGTATTCCTTCCGCGCAGACTGCGCAACACGCGGTTGCAATCTCCAGCCGCCGATCGAACGTCGAACCTTCATAAATTCCAAAGCCGTGTGCTTTCATGATTCATCATATGTGTTCGTGTTTCGGTAATTGCTCAGAGAGATAGCCGCCCTGTATGCCTCTTATCTCTGCTTGTATGAATCTCTATGTGTTCAGTTGGATTTCGGGGCGGACACGCATGCCTAAGTGTTCGTTCCTACGGACAAGCGTTCGTGCAAACCGTGCACACACACACACACGCATGCGCACGAGTCATGCGTGCACACAGAGTTAGGCAAATGTCTAGACGAACAAGCCATAGGCCACGTGGATGCAAACACAGAATTCTGGCCAATATGAGCAAAGTCGGAAGGATGCGTTGGTGGACAGACCACAAAATGTACTCTCACGTGTCTGCAGTTGTTCCTAAATGCATGTGTGTCGTGGCACGTGAATTTCGCGCCACCGATGTTCTGGCGGCAGTTGTACCTCGGAACAAGTGTTGATTCGCATCTGCATGCAAGCTCACGAGATTTGGCTTTCAAGTCGGGTTCAGTCTGAAGTCGCATCCAGGGTTTGTTGTGAGGTTGAGCCGCCACCGAGCGAGTTAGCCAAAAAGCGGCCGGAATCAGAGGCAATGCGTGGATGTTTGCAGTTGCTTTGGGTCGGATTTCGGTAGTTGATTTTGCTAACATCACATCTTTCCTGGTGTCAGTCAGGGTTTGAACTTGAGGCAGTCTTGCCTCCGAGCCCAACCTAACCTTTGCAAGATGTTGACAGACACCTGTAATTGGATAGAATACCGCTCATGTTTAACGAGGAAGTCGACGAAGCATGTCTGCCAATCTCTTCGAGAGCGGTCACATCGCAAAAATGGCAGGCATTCCAGCCTACGCTCTCTTGGGGGCTTGATGAGAACACCTCTTCTTGGGCCCCTCGTCGACAGGTATTGACACATATTGACACTCTGTCCGTCGGGGGCGGCATGGGGTTGCCAAAATGACCATTCCAAAGGTGATTCATATAACCGCCCCCCTCCCCCCCCTCCAAGGATGAGCCCCAGCTTCTTTAACCGTCAGCAGCCTTAAAGCCTGCGCCAGTACTTGTAATTAGAGACCCGCCCAGGCAACCTTTGAACGTGACACACTGAAGCCAAGCTAGAGTTCGAATCTAGGTTTGCTCCGGCCAGCGGGGTCTTCTTTCAGCTCATGTGAGCTTTCATCTAAGCAAGATTCTGGTGACTTTTTTTCGCTCCGGCTTCTTGGATTCTGCAAATACGGGGGGAGGGGTTCTTGCGTTCTGGGAATTACATTTTGCAATTACGCAGGGTTTCTTAATATGAGATTGACATTTTGTCGGGGGATTCATGGGACCTCGTCGATCCACAACCCGACGGCTGCATCTGTGCATATTCTACCCAGGTGAAGAGCCTCAAGGCAACGGGCCTTGCAGGGTCAGTTCACTGCAGCGCTTGCGTCGGGAAGCTTGCAAGCCCTGCCTTTGCTTGTGCAAACAGCTCAGGGTTGCTGCATGTCAGAGTTGCCACTATCACGAGTATTAGAAGATCCTGGACACCCAATTTGCTGCAAGCATACCACTGGTCAGGGGGCTGGCGGCATGTTGGGAGCAGCTCGCTTGGGCCAGCTGCTCTTCGACCTAACTTGATCCGACCTGCATGAGCGCTGCTTTGCCAGTTGCGTATTTCTGCCTAGCAAAGCCACCCTGCACCCCAGCAAGCTACCATATGCGCAGTCAAGATCCACCAGAGAGTGAGCTAATCGTATCATATCGTATCTTCCGGAAAAGGCTTTCCATAAAGACAGCAGCTGTCTGCTCTCACCCACCGCCTGCGCACGCAGAAAACGGCCGCCAGCAATGTCTCCGGACCATGCTCCGCTGCAGAGCCACTTGGATGATGAGCGCTGAGAGATGTCAGCACAGTTTGTGTGAAGGATCCCTGCAACGTCTCGCTTCTGACTGCTATCTAATCTTCTGTTTTCTTTCGAATCTAATGATGCGCATGCACCCTTCGAGCTAGCCCACCAAGACTAGACAGGCGGATAGCCAATTCGCATCAGTAGAAGCGCAGTTGGTCCTGCCAGAAAGACTGAGAGATACAGAGACCCCGAGAGAGTCGATCACTGGCCGGTCACGTGGGGAGAGAAGCGAGACGACAAGGCTTCAGGGAGCTCTTCCACTGGATCACGGAGATGGGTGGCGTTAGCCGGCGGAAAGACGAGCCATTGATCACTGCTTTTTGCAACAGTGTCTTGGCAAGGTCGTGTGAATCTATGCCGTAGTCATGCGCAGCTTGCTGCAGCCTTTCGCAGCTTGCCAGGCTCCCTCTTCAAGTCCCTTTGCACCCTGGCGATCATGGCCAACACAGTGTATCTGGGAGTGGCTGCAGACAATGCCGTTAGGGCAAGCAGCTTGGACTTGTTTGGCTGGCGTGGGCTGGTGAAGGCATGCATGTGCAGGCTCAGGAAGGTGTTGTCCGCCCCATGGTTCCATTGCATGCTAGGTAACCCTCCTGCTCAGCTCTGGAAACATTCGG